AGGGATTTTCCTCTCTTTTGTTCACTGATGTATCACTCTCAAGAACCTAGAATAAATGCTGGTACATAGTAAATGCTCAGCAAATACTCGTTGAATGAATGTAGGAGGAATTTTGACTCTGCAGAGAGGACTCATTATTTTCACTTGCAAACATCTCCGAATTTTGTTAACAAAAAGAACAGAATGTTCTAGTATGTGTGAAGTGAGCTAATGGGATTTAGTGATGATGATAATCACAAGTCACTCCTGAGCACTTAATCTGTTTATAAACAGATAAAGTCACCTAAACAAATATGAATACTGCACATTCATTGAGGAAGTATTTATTTTGTACCTACTATGTGCCTCGCACAGGGATGAAAGTCCTTAAGGGTTGAGGACTATGGAGGAACATTTCACACAAAGTTTAACGCGTCCTGGCAGGTCTGCCCCAAGTCACACTCTTCCTTTGACTGGAAGTCATTTTGCTGTAATAACCCAGGATTCGTTTTTTGCCTTTTCATTTCTCTCTTTGTGTTATAAAGATGCTCATCAAACCTGGACTTACAAGGTAGGGGTAGGAGGAAGAGTTACAGAAAGTGTTAAGAAGTAAGAGTCAAAGCCTTCAGCGGTTCCTGAAAGAGATAAAATGGCAGACATTGCCCCCAAGAAAGCATTGCCTCTGCAGTTCTGGTCATTGATCAGAAGGAAGCCTCGGGCTCCAATGCAAAATCACAGGTCATGCATTCACCAGTTTATCAGACCTGGGTGGCAATACCTGCTTCAGGAGAAGCCACCAGGAGCTGCCATTGCTGAGAGGAGAGCAAAGAGACAGGTCTATACCCTTTCTTCACCCTTCATCCAGAGAAGTCTGCTTTTATCGGTTTCATTTGTTTATGCATTCACATCAGATAGTTTTGAATAACGGGTTTGTTCTAGTAATAATTTCTGTCTGGGAAAATAAAAGTACATCTTACTTTGCTCTTTCTTTTCCTCACAGAGCCCTGCAGGCTTTGGAAGAAAGGGTATAAATAAAATTCACGCACTGGAAATCTTAGGGCTCTTCTGATAGAACTAAGGCAGTCATTAACCTCTCTGCGCTTCACTTTCCTACCTGCGGAATAGTATCACAATTTTTATATTGCCACCTTTGTAAAGATGATGAATTTGAAACAGCCTGGAAAGCACCAGCTTCTGTGTCACCTTGAAAGTCAAATACCAGTGTTCAATAATGAAAAGAGCCGTCTCTTAGGATGCCCTGTGCATTTTTCTATCAGCTACTGCACTTACCGAGATTAATAAATCTCTCCGTCTATCTGCTCAATTAACTTGCAATAAAAGAATATAATCATCAGTAGACACACAGGAGAATTGTACGGTTTGCCAAGCAGGCGTACACAAAGAGCGAGTGAGGAATGAATGATCTACAACTACACACAGTGACATCGATACATCTCACAAACCTAATGCAGAGCCAAAGAAGCCAAACACAAAAGAGCATATGCTGAATGGTATGAAGTTCAAAAACGGGCAAAACTAATCTGTGACGTTCGAAGCCAGGATAATGATAACCCTTGGGTAGGGGGAGTAGCAGCTAGAAGGAGATAAAAGGGAGGGCTTCAGATCACTATTAATGTCTTGTTTCTCTAGCTGGGTATTAGTTACAAGGATGTGTTCACCGTGAGAATTCATTGAACTAAATGCTTATTGATTTGTGCACTTTTCTGTAGGTGTGTTACACTGTAATAAAAATATTACAGGAGGGGGTGACCGGTTAGCTCAGCTGGCTAGAGCATGGTGCTGATAACACCAAGGTTGCCGGTTAGATCCCTGCATGGGCCACTGTGAGCTGAGCCCTCCCTAAAAGAGTCAGCTATGCCATTGTAGCATGAAAGCAGTGTGTAACCAACCAATGACCATGGCTGTTTCCCAGTAAAAATTTTTTAAAACCATATTACACAATTAATATGGCTTAAGTTGGGTGGAGAATTTTATTATGTCCCCTGAGATAAGGAGGAATACTGCTGTATCTCCACAACTCAGGCTTGGGATGGAATCCTCAAGGACCGTCGTGTGGACTGTCGTGTGAGGATCACCCCATCCCAGAGGCTGGCACAAAGCCGGGCAGTAACAGGCAGTTTCAATTACATCCTATTTTCATTCTAAATACCAAGGTAACAGGTTTTAAGGAAACATTGTGCCAGGGAATAACTATTAAGATGCACATGTACACAACGCAAATGCTCTGCCATGTTTTCGTGATTGAGGTTTACAGTTTGTGTAAGCGTTTAAAGCAGCTACTTCCTCTGACTGATTCTCCTACTGTTGAGTTTGGCAGAATGCCATATGCAATTAAAACCACGGGTATTTACTGAGGATAATAATGAATACTCTGTGAACCATCACTTTTTATGGTCATATGTTCCTTTTCCTCATGTATTTCTTGTTACACTTGGCAATTTTGTGCCGGTTTCAGAGCCCTTCTTTATAGAAAGCCATCATTTAACAAAATGCTTAATGCCACCTATAGAAACAATTTTCCTGGAATAAAACATGACTATCACATGTCCAAACTAAATGAGATACTTAAAAAATACATTTAATAATAGCTTCCAATCCTGGGTCTGCCATTTATTAGCAATGTGTCAGTGAGCCATTTGCTGAACCTGTTTCAGCCTGTTTTCCTCAATGGTCTCACCCTCATAGAGTTTTCATGAGGATTAAGTGAGGTAATCCATGTAGTTAATGTAGAGTGCTTGGCACAGGGTCTTCACCTAAAGGCTTATTAAATCTTCACTCTTGGTTTTATTAATAGCTTAACAACCACATTATATGTGAATGGTAAAACTGATCACTTATTCAAGGATATTTGGTATCAACATAACATTTGAACAGAGAAGACTGGTAGAAAGCACCAACAACTAAGAAAAATTCATTTTAAAATAATTCAAATTGAGAAATTTCTATGTTTTAATTGATTTTTAGATCACTTCAAAAAGGAACACCCCTCTTAAGTACTCATAATTAAAAGTCATAAAATAAAATAAAATTCTGCCCAGCTCATGGAAGACAACTGTTGAAAGGGAGTAGAATTTGAGAATTACTGACTGGTTTATGCAATATTTATTTCCCCTTTACTATATGGCAGATGTCAACATGATCTCTTAAAGGAGACAGCTTTAAATAGCAAAATGTTCTATCTGTTTTCTCCCTAGGACTTTAGAGATTAGGCAACACCTTATATGTTTCCCCTCTTCCTCTTTCCTTCTCTTAGGGCTCAAGGGGAGTGCATTAGTAAGAGCGTTGAACTTGGCATCTGAATCCTGGTGCTATCTGTATTAATTGAGTGAAGTTAGCAAATCACTTAATCCCTCTGAACTGCATTTTGTTATGTACTTGATGAATTTCATTACTGATCATTACAAGTCAAGAATCACATGAAGTTGTTGTTTGCTTCTAAGCCCTAGAAAGTTCTGATGCTTGTTAGTAGGGTATTTGAAGAATCAACCAATGCATTTTTGTTAGTGGTACCTCCTGCTCAATCCTATCCATTGGCCCATTTGGGAAGTCATATTGTTCATTCAAGAGAGGTCTGGTAGAACAGAAATACAGAGAGAAAGAAAAAAGGCAAGGTGTAGATTATACGTTTCAAAATAGACTTTCTGAAACTCAGTACATAGATATTAGTTTGAGAAAAAAGAAATTTTGAGTTTCAACAGCCTAGGAATCCAGGCACAAACAATAGGTTTGAAAGAATATATGGATAGTCAAAGCAAGTTTTCCCTCCTACTTTATCACTGGGCTCCCAATATTGGGAACTGGAAGGGGAAAAAGAGCAGTGAGAGAGAAGAAGCAACAGAAGTAGAATTTGATGGACCTTTAACACTGTACCCTCCTGTCCATCCCCAGACCAAGTACTGAAGGGTGGGGAGCATGATGAAAATTTCAGAAGAGATTGGGGAACCCCAGAGATGAGAACACCTGTGCTGTACTTTTAAGACAGCATTGTAGAAGGCAACAAATATTACAGAGCTCCCTGGCACCCAGCATGAGGAAGGAAAAATAGAGTAGAGAGAGCCTTGCAGTGTCTCTGTGTCCAGTGTGGCGTGGAGACCTGTCAAGAGGTTGAGAAAGCCAAACTAAGATATATTTCAGGTCTGGTGATCAGAGTGAAGCAAACTCCACAGTGAATGGGAGACAGCCAAGGCCAAGACTCCAGCATGGACCTTTGATGATGATGTCCTGATGACCAATGACCAGATCCCCATAGCACTAGATGTCTTGACATTCAGATATTCTCCAGGACTGAACCACGACTGTGCGGAAAGGGAGAGGAGACCCTAAATTGGCAAAGCAAATCTGAAATGACTGAGGATTGCCTAACATTGCAGAGATTAGGTTTCTACCATCCAGCAAAATTGGTAAAAACAAGAAAAAGTGTTTTCTATATTAAAAATAACACAGGGGCAGCCAGGAGGCTCAGTTGGTTAGAGTGCATTCTCTTAACAACAAGGTTGCGAGTTTGATTCCCACATGGGCCAGTGAGCTGTGCCCCTGCAAATAGATTGAAAATGGCAAATGGACTTGGAGCTGAGCTGCGCCCTCCACAACTATTTAGACTGAAGACAACTACTTGACTTGGAGCTGATGGGTCCTGGAAAAACACACTGTTCCCCAAGAAAATTTATTTTAGAAAAATATAATAATACACATTTCTCTCCCACATGAATTTGAGGCCCAAGAATTTGTGCCCGCTTACATTTTGTACCAAACATAAATTGCTATTTGGGACTTCTACTCAAGTCCTTATTGAATTCCTGCAGATGAAGCTCATCTTTCTACTTGCAGCTTCTGTGAGAATTGAAAAATCATTCAAAGGCCTGCACTGCTCCTCCAGGGACAGTGTTTCCCCTTTGTGGTTGTTAAAGAGACACACTCATCCTCCCACTGGGTTACACTTCCCAGGTTCTCACCCTCCGGCCCCTTCTTCAACACTAGGGTAAGTTTGTCTGTGGACTCACCTGTTTCTGTGGACAATCTTGTTCGAGTACTTCTTTTTTCAAAAATCATGCCTAAGGACTTCCCTTGCAATAAAGGCAAATACTGAAAACCAAGGACAAGAATGCAATTAAAATGAAAAATATATTGATATCCAGTATTAAGGATTATGTTTCAAAACTTATTCTTGACGTTATCAGAAAATGTAGACTAATTAATCACTGCTTCCAAATAAGTGTTCAAAATATGATTTAAAAAGTGAATTTAAAGTGGTTTTTTTTTTCATGTTCTATACAAATGGAGGAAGGGAACAGAAACTCCCACAGCTTATTGGCATATAATTAGAAAGTATTATCAGTTGCTCTAGGTTCAGTCTGAACAGTTGTTTCAAGGTATATTAACATTTCACACTGGAACCATCTTCTTCCTTAAATCCATGGAAATACCCATCAGTGTTCAATGACCTTGAAGATGCTTGGTTCAGAAGTGTTTTCTCAGCTAGGAATGTGCTACCCTATCACAACATGGGACACTAAGACTCCTAAAGGTGACGCCTCAGCGTGGCAGCTACACTTTGATCATGCATCCTCATGGGAATGCAAAGGCTTTGTTTCTGAAAGTTGTGTAGAAACAATCTGGAGAGTTCGGTGTGGGGTGGGGCTCTTCCTCCTTCCTCTTCTATTGATTGACACTCCCGATAGGATGAGTTCTGGAACAAATAGATTGCTGCCAGCTAAACTGCCTCACACACAGTGTAAATAACGAAGGCCTGGAATCTTGGGGGACCTTTTCTCCTTATCTCAGGTCTTCTATAGGAACATCAACTCATCACAGTTGGAGTCCTGTTTTCAATTCGTTCTTAGGAACTTGGAGAGCTTGTGAACTAGATAAGAAAATCAAAGTTGTATAAAACTTCCTCAACCTGAAACCAACTCTTTAAACAAGCTTTTGAAAAAGCTTGGAATATGAAAATGTTTTCTCGATTAAGCAGTCTACATGAAGCTACCGCATTAATTAAGCGTGTTTCAGACATAAATTGCTCAAAATGCAGAATAATGATTAGAGCTAAGCACCATATCCCATCTTTTCTCCCACTGGGTTACCATTTAATCGTTTCTTTGCTACATTTTTTAAAAATACCGTCACATCATTGCACATTTTTTTACATTATCCTAATTATCATATATCTGATATGCATTCACAATTGAAATTTGTTGCTAAGAAAAAAATGCATCATCCTTATTTTTAACTTAATAGAAAACACACAGAGAAAAGAAAAGAAGTATAAAAATAAAATCTTTCCGGAGAAATGATTCCTTAGGTTCTGATCCAGTTAATAATGAATTTCAACATTCCACATGAAAGAAGTGCAATGACTTGTCATTGAATAACTGATTTTTATGCTTTTTATATGCCTCTATACTCAGTGATAATCAATTACCTTGACTGTGTGATTTCACCACTTGCTACTGTTTAGGAATTTTAATGTGTGTTCTTTTCCATATTTCTTTGGAAAGGCTGTCTTTAAAAAGGCTGATTGGCAGCAATGGAAGGTAAGATGAAAATGCTACATACCTCTCCTTTCTGTTTTATCCTAAGTTTCAAGTCTGCTGATAGCCATAGCATGTACTTAATTTCTTCTCCTGTAAAGTTCTTTAGAGTAAGGAGGTCACGACCCTTCAGCTGTACTTTATTTTGTAGTGGTTGTCCACTTCTACACAAAAAGAGAAAGATAAATATATAGTTACATAAAAAAACATGTCCTATGTTGACTCATTGTTTTATTCCTGAAGCAAAACATAGTAAATCACATGTAGCCTCATGTGTCTCCGCAAAGTGCTAATGCATTGAAATCAATATGGCTGTGATTTACATTTTAGATATCGAGTATTCTGATTGTTGAGAGAAAAGAAGAATATGAAGAAAGAGATTGAATTCTTATTTGTTGTAAATAGCCATACAAGTGGCTTTGCCACTTAACTACTTAACCTCTCTGCACCTAAATTTCTCACCCAGAAAATGAGTATAATAATCTTCTAGGGTTGTTGTGTGGATGAAATAATTTAATACGTGGAAATCAGACAGTGCCTGGCAAATAATAAGCTTGTGATAGAATTTAGCTATTACTGAAATCATTAGATTGGACAATCAGAATTTATAATGTACATACAACAGAAAACAGTTTCATTCATTTTCCCCTACTGCCCTTCAAATCTGTTTTTGGAGATTTGTTCTTTTTACTTGTCCCTGGTTAAATACATTGGATCCTGTGGCTTTTCTAGTAACTTTCAGGAAAGAAAAGTCTTCTGCTTGCTTTATTCCTTCAAAGAGTCTAAGTAAAATGATGTCAAATAATAATAATGATTTTTTGGAACTTCAAGAAATGTACTGTATGGCTGGCCAAGTGGCACGTTGGTTAAGAGCTGGCTTGGGATGCCAGAGGGCCCCGGTTCGGATCCCACATATGAGGGCCAGTGACACTGCCCTCTACAGCTAAG